CGCCGTGCTGTCGCAGAAGAAGTTAATAAACAGTCCCCGTTTTGCAGGTTATCCAAACGCTGCCGAATAGGAGGGAAGAAAAAAAAAAAAAAAAACCTTGGATCGCTAAATGGTGTGTAATTAAAATTATTTTTAAAATCCTCCTTGACAGGCCGGGGCTTAGCCAAAATGTAAATGACATTAAAGAAGACAATGAATTTAATTTTATTTAATGTCCCTTTTTGCAGATCCTCATTTGCATAGCGTTTTTAACAAAAGCGCTGACCTTATAAACGCTGGCATTTGTACAGCTCCCTCGGAGTGGGGCTTAATCACGCGCGCAAAGCCGCGGGGGAGGGAGGGCACGCTAAGTTCTGGGCGCGGAGATGGAGTGGAAGGAAAACACGGGGACTGGTCAAATGTTTATCCTCCCCGCCTCCGAAAACAGCCTGACAAGAAGATGGAAGGGGCTGGGGAATAGCCCGGTGCTGTTTGTAAGGCTCGGTAATAATCATACATAATCGTTTGGAAATATAGCTAATAAAAAATATAATGAGTGTTCAGCAAAATCGGCATTAGGCCCAAATTACAGGATATTAATACTTGAACAGGTGCAGAAAGGCGCTTTAAATGAGGTAAATGAATAAAGCGTCCCAGAGCACAACTGTGTGTGCTGACAAAAGTCAATGCCATGAATAATTCAGCGGGAGGACTGCCAGCAAAGGTCGCTCTCTGTGACCTTTGTGACAGGAAGTGAAAGGAAACACTGTTGACTCAAAAAAAAAAAAAAAAAGGAGGAAAGAAAGAAAGAAAGAAACACTCTGATGGGTGTTCAGCTACCGTTCTGCAGTCGTTTTAAAGGTGTAAACTTCGAACTCGTAAATGGATGGGGGGGGGGGGGCGGTGTGGTGCCTGGTTAGAATGCTCGGGGCCTGGGCAGGGGACGGAGGACAACGTGAAATCGCAGACAATGAGAGGTTAAGTCAATAATATTTTTTCTGCAACCCCCGTGTCAGTTGTGTATAAAAATCTGAGGTCAGCTGAAAAGTATTTTCAGAGCCCACAGGGTTGAGATTTTGTAACAGCTGTGAAATATGACAAAACTTTGCTTCGCTCCCCACCTCCCCGCCCCCCGCCCCCCACCCCAGCCCCGGCCAGCGAGAGCTATTCCAAACTCCGTATGAAAGAAAATGGGATAAACAGATGTCTGGCTCCCAGACAGCAGAGTGGGACAGACTTGGAATGATAAGTCTCCCCAACTCCACGGACCGATGCCAGGTTCGCCGGGAGGGGCCGCCGCTGCCACGGAGATGCCAGCGCGTGGGACGCCGGAGACCGTGCCATCTGGAAGCGCCCCGCCGAGCACGCTCCCTCCGGGCTCTGCACGGGGGGCCCCACGCACACCCCGGCCGCTCGGAGGTCCCCGCACCCAGCTCCTGCCGCCCGGGGTCTGCCCGGACCCGGAGCTCCGGGCCCCATGCGGCCGGGCGGGGACGGGGTCAGAGCGCACGCCTCCCGGGCTTGTCCGCTGGGCCTCAGGCGACACCCCGGGACGGGATGGCAGGGGAGGACGACAGCCAAAGTGTGGTTCTGGTTTAGCAGCTACACCGACATCCTGTAATCATTCACAGCCTTTGGAATGCACGGGTGAGACGGGAGAGATTCATCTGTTCGTGGCTGGGCTGTGCGGACAATGGGTGTTCCTAATGAAGACCATCTGCTTTTGTGTTTTCCCAGAAAACATTATTCCACGAGGAAAGCGATACCCCGGCCTCTGCAGAATACCGTAAAGCATTACGTGTGCGTGTGTGCGCGTGTGTGCGCATGTGTGTGCATATGTGTGTGTGCACGCACACATATACGTGCACATGCATGTGTGTGGGATGTGCACATCACACACACACACACACACACGCACGCACACACACACATACGCTCTCCCACCCCCCCTCTCCTGGCTCTGCAGGTCACCGCAGCCACATACATGCTTTCCACCGCAGTAGCTCCTCGCGGCTGTGCCTTCGCTTTACAGCGTCACGTTTCCCCTTCCCCGGGCGCCGCGGCGCTCCCGCCCTCCGCAGCAGAGTTACATCTGCGGGCGTAAACGGCGGCTTCCCCCGCATCGTTTTACGAGGAAGAGCACGGGGAGGGTGCGTCCCACCTTCACAAGAAGGGGGTTTCGTCGTGCACCCTCACGTGTTTCCCCTCTTTTCCCGCCGCCCGGGAGCCTAACGCTTCTGAGAGATGGCCGGGCTGGGTGGTGTAATTAATTGATGGAAGGCGCCCGCGTCCACAGAACGCGGTGTGCCTGCCGGAGCCGGGAGCCGGTGTCCGCGTGGGTTGGCGGGGACGCGGGCCCATTGATCTCCATTCAGGTTGGAGTTATTGCTTTATGTCCTCGGGACACAGGCCTGATCTGGATGGGAGCGGCTGAGTGTGGCCAAAGGCCGCCCGGAGTATCTAATTCTTTCCTAAGCCAACTAACCGCGGAATAACAGACAGCGCCGGTGGGGGCAGGGGGCGGGCTCCCCGGCCGGCACGGGGTTCTAGTCCGCGGCCCTCCCTCCGGGGGCAACGCAGGCTGGAAGCTCGAGTTTTCGGAGGCAGAAACGATGATCATTATGAAACTGAAACACAGCTCAGCTGCGAACGGCTGCCTCTCGCAGGAGACAGCCTCCTCCCACAGGCATGTTTCTCCCTCTGATTCCCACGACGTGCCTCCCTCCGTAAACACGGCATCCTTCACGTGCCCCCCAGCACCGTGCCTCGCACGCGGGAGGCTGTGCCAATAACGGCGATCATCACACGCCGACTGACACCGAGCCACAGGATGTGCACCGTCTTTTGTCGTCAGAAGTGACAGCTCTTCTCTGAGAACGGTGAAAACACGCACATCCTATCTGTCACCCCGTAAAGCCGCCCTCGCCCTCCTCCGCCATCCCGCACGTGGGAGGTGATTAAAATTCCTATAAAATTGTCCTATCTCTGAATTTAGGAGCAGAGCAAGTTTTCATCAATAATTAAGATCTCCAAAGCACCCATGCCAGGCGATCCTCCTTATTCAAATAAACTTGGTGTAAGCCCATGAGCTACATGTTTTTGCGTGTGTTTCCCCCTCCTCTCCCGCTCCTGGCATCTCAAGCGATCGCCCGGGTCAGAGAGGTATCAGTCATCTCAGCACATATTTTAATTAACCGGAGAGATAAGGAGGCATTCACTCAGACAAGATATTCGCGAGTCTATTTCCACACGTGCGGGAAAAGACCTATTCCCAGCCCCTGATAAAAACCGAGCATGAGAGGTTCTGCTGCATCAGAGCATCCACACGTGACGGACTGCCACGCACACCCCAACGGCGCCCAAAACACTGGTGGAGTCCTCACGACCCCTGGGTCACTGAACACCTCACAACGTGAAACGGAGAAGCCAGATTCTTTCTCTAGACGCACAGATACCGCCCGCAGAAGCCAGCTCAGTCAGGAGACCCTCCCCAGCGCTGCGAGAAGAGCAGACACACGCTGCCTTCGCGAGCATCCGACAGTCAGGAACGCCGCCCGGAGCGGCTCCCTCTCTCCCAGCCAATCACAGGAAACACGGTAAAGCCCGCCCGGGACCACCGCGCCGAGGAGGACAAGCACGGCGCGACTGATTCCCGCGGCTGGAGTCGGACCAAGGGTGGGACTCGCTCTGGCCGCCTGAGTGACGGCCACAACTGGCCCCCGCTATTTGATTACTAATCAGAGCCGTCCCTTCTGTCAGATACCGCGCATTCCCCGCTAAGCACACAGCCAGCCCAGCTCGTTCCACCCAGGCACGGCTCTCCGCCGGAGGCCCAGATTTCCTCCGGCTTAACTCGGGGAGTTTTCCGGGTTTAATTTTTCAGACGCTGGACAGCCAAAGTTCACGATCAAAACGATAACTTTGTCCTGAGAGCTGTTGAAACCCAACCCCTCTTCAGCGCGGCCTAGCCCTCTGCCTCACAACACTGCAGTCCTGTGTGCACGTCCAGCATGTATTCAGTGTGGGTACCAGTTGCAAAAACACCCAGCCCCTCGCACCCCGGGCCTCTGGCTGTGGCTCCCCATTGTTGGGAGAGAAAAAGCCCCCCTCCTCCCGGGCACAGACACCCAGAGATGGGAGGCGGGGGGAGGGGGGGCGCGCGAGAGGGGGGTGCTTCGGGGGAGGGGGGGTGTGTATTTGTTGTTTCAACCAGAGCGACAGCAAACGCACATTAACACCATTAAGGCCGATGATTAGTAGCTTTGAGGGATGCACTGTGGCCCGGGGAACATGACAGATAGCAAGAAGAAGAGCAGCGAACGAACGTAAAGAATGCATACAGCTCATCCAGTGACGGATATTAATGCTGGAAAACGTAACCAGCATGTGCAATTAGTTTCAATTATAACAACTTTGGTTTGTTAGTTACATATTTGCTACTTGACATAAAACGACAGCCGCAATTGGGAAAAAATTAGGAGACATTTTGCAACTAATTGAGAGCAGATTAAATTCATTCTAACACTGGGCAACCATTACCACAGGAACACACCACCCAAGTCTCCGCTCCGGCTATCATCCGAGATTTAAAAAAAAAAAACAACAACATACACACACACAATAATAATAATAATGCAAAACTGAGAGACTTGTTAACAAATTAGCAAAAGGCGCTTTATGACATTTTTTTGGGTTGAAAGCCAGACGCTCTCTAGGCATAAAGTGCTCCTCACAGCGAGCGCGGTGGCAGGCGACACTGCTTCCCTTGACAACTCCAAGCAATTACCGAATCCCCACTGAGCCAGCCTCCAGGTTTCCAAGTCAACCCACCTGTGCACAGAACGCACACGGACAACAAACACCGCAGCCCCAGCCCCAGCCCTAGCCGCAGCCCCGCGGGGGGGGGGGGGGGGGGGGGGGCCTGCAAAGCCAGCAAGGCTGGGCTGGGCTGGGCTGGGCTGGGCTGGGGCTGGGGCTGCCGTTTTGTTTGGGAAAAAAAGAAATGAAGAAGCCATCCTTACCTGTCAATGATGACGGGGTCGGAGGGGGTCTCATTCCTGTTGCCACAACTTTTCTTGTCGCAGCACCGGCTGTGGAGGGATGGCAAACAGGCGCTTTAACAGGCGTGTCATCCTTGCATGCCCGACTCTCGTAATTTTCTTTTTCTTTTCCTTTTTTTTTTTTTTAAGTCTGACAGTCAAGCAGCTGGAGTCGGCAAACTAAGTCACCCTGCCCAGGCCGATATGGGCGATTCTAAAGCCCGCGGGGTTCACGTGCTCTGTGGCTAAACTTAGGGTGTAAGTTTCTACCGGAAGGAAGGAAGGGGCAGCCGGGGGACATAGCTGCTCCTTAGGCGGAGGGTGGCAGGGCTGCCCTGGAAATTGTGATGCTAAAATATGGAAAACATGTTGTGGTGTTTGTCTTTGCAGTGAACTGAGGAGAAGGGGAGGCGAGAGGCTTGGGAATAACTTTTCACAGCTTCGGCTTTTGTTTACCTCTAATTGTCAAGCTGTTATTTCTGGGAAAGAGGCAAGATGCCACCTTCCACGATATTTCTTGGGGGCATTTATTAATTATAGCCACAAAAGCACATCTCCATCGATCAGCAACTCCCATTGTCCCTCCTCTTAAGCCCACCTCAACTCTGTTATGGAAACTTTAATTAAAGCAGAAATGAAACAAAAATGTTATGCTTCTTGCATTTTAAAAAAGCATACTTGTATAATGGTTACATGTCTAAATTAACTAAATTAACACCATATGGTAGGCAAAGTATATAAAGCCTTTTAAAGCTGACAGCTAAAGTGATTAAAGAAAGTCTACAGTCTTCCACTTAGAGCTTAAATCACATCTGTGCGCTTTCTATGTTAATTGCAGTACATGCAGAAGTGGATAATAAAGAAATTCCACTTTATTGGTTGTAATTTATATTTATTACCTGATATGAGAAAAAGTCAGCTTTTGTATATTAGTGCCGTAACAATATGTCTGCTCGGGAATGGCATGTCGGCAGCCGGCAGCCGGCACCGTAGCCAGGCAGAGCCTGCCCCGCAGAGTCGGCGGCCCGCTACTGTCGCCGGCTCGCGGGTCCTTGTTACTCCTCACCAGCCTCGACATTTCACAAGCCCCGCGCACAAAGTCAACGGTGCATTTTTTCTGTTTGCCGCGGAGGGGTGACACTCGGGACAAGAAGCGGGAGGGGGATGGCTCCAGTGACAGGGATCTGGGGAAGCGCAGCCTAACAGCCAAGGGAAGGGCACCTGGCTGCCACAGGGAGAGGTTAACTGACAGACTCCCAGCCCCACGCTCACAGGCTCGGCTCTGAAACAAGCACAGTTTCCTTTTATTAAGACCAGCCGCCAGCACGGCTCAGGACCCCACTGCTGCCTGGGAGGGATCCCCAACTCCTCCGCTCTGAGGACCCCGGCATCGCCAGGACCCCTCTGCGTGTCTGATATCGCAGCGGCGTGGCCAACGCAGGCATCAGCTCTGCGGAGCCGCCAGCCAGCTGCGGGGACCGCTGTGGGGAAATGAGCCCGGCTCCTGGGCTGCGGCTTGCGGCCAGCCGGTTACATTTCAATCGAACCCCATCCCCGAGCCCAGCCCAGTGGAGGCGCCAGGGCTGCGCATCCTTTGTGGCTGCAGCTGGCGCCGAGGCTGCCCGCCCGCCCGCCCGCCCGCCCGCAGCTCCCGTTCGTCCGCCACCGCTCACCTGCACATGATCTCGTGGGTCAGGAGCACACGGCACATCTCCGGGTTCTTGTCCTGGCCCTCGTAGACGATGGCCTGCGCGGGGACATGCAGAGGCGGGCGTTACACGGCGCCCTCCAGGCCCGGCGGGCGGGCAGGTGCACAGGGGGCCAGGGGAGGCAGCGCGGCCCACCCATGCCACCCTCCGGGCGGGTCACCCAGAGGGAGGCTCAGCCAAGGCGGCCTTCTCTCTCCCGGGCGCCCTCCAGGCCGGCTCGGGCTTTCACCTCCAGAGGATTTCAGTCTCCTGGGCGGGGGCGAGGCCAGGATGCAGGGAGCTGAGGCACATGAGTCCAGGCACCCCAGGCTCCCAGCCCCTCGGCTACCACCCGCAGGGCTGCTGGGCGCGTCCTGGGGCCATTGTCTACATCGAATCCCAAAGTGTGTGCTGGAAGAGGCCGCTGACAGCACGCTGTGACTAAAGCAGGGCGAGCAGGCTGGGGCAGCCATTTGGCCGTAGCCCCTTGCACTCCCTGGCTCGGGCAAGGAGGGCGCCCAGCCGAGCCCCGAGTTCAAACCCCGGTTCCTGAGGTGGGCCTCCCGCCGGTCCGGTCCGGTTCGCCCCGCCGGGCGCTGCACGCCGCGGGCAGCCCGGGGACCGGGAAGCTGCAGCTTCACGTGGCCGCGCGGCCCAGGCCTCCCGGACTCCCGGCAGGAGGGCTCCCAGCCCCGGCGCCCGGCCGGCGCGGCCACGTGCTCCTTCCTCACAGGCTGGTATTTGGAAATAGGGCGCTAATGGCCAATCTGGTGTTTATTTTGAAACTGCTAACAATGATTTTTCTCGGGGAAGAAGGCAGTGCCGGCACACACACGCTCGGGTGGGTTTTGAGCAGAGGCTCCGCCAGATGGTGCGCAGCCCTAGGTGCGCTCACCACGGCGCTCACCAGCTCCGCCCGCCGGGAACCCGAGCCGGCCGCCGCGCCAGCCGCCCGGCCCCACAGCCACCCGCAGCGAGGGGGGAGGAAGGGGGAAAGAAAAGAAGGGGGAAAAGGCCACCGGAGGAGGGGCAGAGGGCAGAGGGGGGGCAGGAGCCGCCAGTTCCCGGCTGAAAATTCCACGGAAAGGGGAGGGGAGCCCCCTCTCCAGCTCCCGCCGCCCCCTCTCCACCCCCCAATTATCTGGAAATTACTTCCAACCTCCTCGGGCACTCCTGACTCTCTCCGCCACTTCCAGGCGGACAAAGCCCTTTCCCGGGGAAACCGGCTTCCCTCCGGGAGGAGGGCATGGTCCCGGAGCAGCTCTCCCCCGCCTCCCTGGACCCGGCTCCAAACCGCGGTGCCACCCCAGGCCCGCGGGCCGCGGGGCGGGCAGCCGGGCACCGGCTCTGCCTCCGGAGCGCGCTGCCGGTCCGGGGACGGGGCCCCGCGTTTGTATCTGATTTATTTTTTATTTTGTAGCTCACACAGAAATCCATAAACTGTCGGTTCAGCACCATTGACTCTTTGATCAGTTACTGGGCCATTTCTTTCCTTTTCTTCCCCCCCTCCATCCCGGCCGGGGAGAGGCGATGAAATGCCTGCATGTGCAGCCCTGTTTCTCCTGCAAAAGTCTACGGCTAAACGAACAATAAAAGTGTCCTTGGAGCCGGCCTTCTGCTCCAGGCACCAACAGGGGAACCTGGGGGTGGATGCCTGCAGCCCCGCTGCCCCTGCCTCCCTCCGCAGCGTGCTCTGCGAGCAGCAGCCCTGCCTGCAAAGAAAGAAAAGCTTCCTGTCCGCAGCCACAGCCCCTCTGCTCCAGGCTCCCGCCTCTGAGGGAGACCCTGACCGCGCCGCCGCCTCAAAAAGAGCGAAGTTTACCACCAGGTCTGTGTGTACGCTCAGAGAAAACCGCACTGCGTTACATGAACATCTAGCAGGCGGGCTGCCCGGGAGGGACAAACTTTCTACCGGGGGAGTGAGATCAGCAAACTAATCGCCCAGCGGAGCGGGAGGCTGCGGCAGCCGGGAGCTTCCCCTGGCTCGCATTCTTCCAGCCCGCGTCAGGAACCGAGGCTCCACTTTCGTTTCCCAGCCCGAAGCCCAGCCTGGAACTGTATTTCAAATCCATCTGTGCCAAGTGGGTTTAATTTACACGTCGCACCTGCCCCTCCCCCAGCCTCTGTTTTTTAAGAATAAAGGGGGGGGGGGCGGGTTCTTTAAAACAACCGAACAACAACGCGGCCACCGGGCACAGCCCCAGCCAGAAACCGCACCAAATCCGAAAGCGAGGAAGCGCCTGTCTGCACTCAATGGCGTTCCCGAGAGCCAATAGTTATCCTCGGAAAAGTTGACCAAGACAGGTTAAATAATTTAATAAGGAACTGCCTGTAATTATGTTATTTACAAGGTATGACAGAGGGCGGGGGCAGGAGCCAGCGCGGCTCTGCAGAGCCATGGGCGGGTTTGAGTGACCCCTGGAGCTCGGAGTTTGAATTATGGAGATGGGGGGCCGAGAGGTGAAGATGGGCTAGAGGAGAACAAGGTGACTTTTCACCCCGACACATTTAACTTTTAAATTCAAATAAACGTCTCCTGTTACTAGACCGTCACGCTGGAAAGGAGGAAAAAAAGGGACTCATCAAGCCCCACGCACTGGGCTTCGGAAAGGAAAGGAGCTCATCGCCACGGTGTTAGGGGGGGAAATCAATGAAATGATTCCAAGGAGAGGGGAAAAAAAACACTCCCACGTTAAAAAACACACGGAAAGGGGCTTCTTGAAGATCCTCCTGTCACGTGTGAATTACCATAATGAATTAAGAGAGAACCTGAATCCCATCACAAGCCACGTAACAAAGCCTATCTGTCCAATTGTACTGACAACCCTAAACTATTTCACCAATTGTTCCACATATTCCAGTAAACACGGGATTCTCATTAGCATGGCGAGGACGCCTAGTGAGAAACAAAAACACACGGGCCCATTTGTCAGGGAGCTGTCTCTGAAACCCAGGACTAGACAGTGGAGCAGTGAAAACTCATGCAAACGCTTAAACTTTCTCACCTGCTTGGTCATGGAATCTATGAGGCGAACGTACAGATCCTGCTCCGTTCTCACTCCTGCAAAAGAGAGAGACAGACAGACAGAGAGAGGTGCCCATCAGTTTAGCAAGGGCACCGGGCACAGGAAGTTCAGGGCTCAGGGACTGCAGCCCCGTGATGCAGCAAAACTTCAGGCTTGGCCTTTTAAAAGGCAAGAAAGAAAACCCCAACACTCCTCGCTCTTTCTTTTCTTTCCTTTTCCTAAGTAAGAACCGTGGGGCTCTCAGGGTTTGCTTTCCTTGAAAGGGGGAAGCAATGTGCCCCGCCGAGCGCAGGCCTGGCTGCCATGCCCACAGGCCCATGTGGTCATTTATTTTTAGAAAACAGAAAGCAAGATATGGAAACAGAGTCTGAACTCTTTCTAAATGTCTCTCGAGGATTTTTCTTTTCTTTTTAAAGAATCGGGAGCCCCGGGAAAGGAAGTTATGCTCTCTCTGGGCTTCACCACCAGGGCCACCCCCACCTCAATAATGAACATTAATTTGCAAAATTGGAAAAAGTCACTTAGAAGTGATGTTCAGCCAGAGCGCCTCAATCGATCCGCTTTTTACTTTCTACTTCGTGCCCTACCGGTTAATCATGTGAAGTGCCATCGACTTATCGATCGTTTATGTTTTGTTTTCCTTCTATGCCATGCGAAGATTCCGTGTTTACATCCATGTCATTTTAATCTCAAAATCTTTATGTCCTTTTAGCATCCCGGGCAAGGAGAGCCGGGGAAGCCAGGGAAGCCGGGCAGCGGCCACTCACCATTGCTGTACAGGAGCTGCAGCTTGTAGTGGATGCCATTGTTGGTTTTCTCGTTGTTGGGCTCCTGGAAGGAACGACACGTAATTGCATTTAAGTAGCGGGTCGGCGCCTGCAGCGGCCACCGCGCTCGGTCCCCTTTGCACCACCGAGGCCCCCGGCCTCACGCAGCGCGGGGCTCGGAGCGGCGCGGTGATGTCACTGTCCGGCGAAGCGGCCCCGCGGAGTCCGGGGGCGCCCGGGAGCCGCCTGGCCCACCGTCCCCGCCGCCGCCGAGGGGGGCTCTCCGCGGCCCCCGCGCCCGGAGAGAAAGCCGGACGGAGGAGGGAGCGATCGCGCGCCCGCACTTACTTTCTCTTTCTCCACGAAGTCCACGAAGGCGGTCCGCTCGATCTCCACCGGCTGGCCCTGCCGGTCGTAGAGCGCCAGCACGAAGTGGAAGAAGTTGGACTTGCGGAGGTTGGAGGGCGGCTGCTTCTCGAAGTGCGCGCGCGCCAGCCCCACGCCGCTGCGGGAGGAGAGGGAGGGCGGCCGGTGAGCGGCGGGAGGGCGCGGGGCCGGGGCCGGGGCGCGCGCGGGGCCGGCCGGTACGTACCTCTGGGCGGCCGTGTTGGCGTCCACCACGCCCGCCGTGTGCATCCAGGAGCGCACCGGGTTCATGCCGCTGCCCAGCGGCTCCTCCTTCATGGTGGTGCCTCCGCGCGGAAGGTTCTCCTGGATCCCGAACATGAACCCTGCTGGCGGCGGCCGCGGCGCCCGGCCGGCCCACGGCGCTCCCCGGAGCAGCGGCGGCGGCGGCGGCGCTCGGGGCTCGGCGCTCGGCGGCGGCGGCAGCGTCCGCCCTGGCCGCGCTGGCCCTGCTCGCTCGGCGCCCGCGGAGGGTCCGGCCCGCCGCCGCCGGCTTCAGCCCGTGCTCCCGGGCAGGCGCCGCATGCACCGGCGGCCGGCGCTCCGGACGGCCGGGGGGGCGGAGGGGGCGCGGGGGCGGCGGCGGCACCGGCGGCGGCGGCGCCCGGAGAAGCGGGCGGAGGAGGACGGGACCGCGGCCGCGGCGGCGGCTGCTGTTGTTGTTGTTGTTTGCAGGCGATCAACGTGGTGTCATCCTCGCCGGGCGGGCGGCGGCCGCGGCGCAGGCAGGACCGGGACCGGCGGGGGCGTCCGCTGCTGGCGGGCCCGCCTGCTCCAAAGACAAATAAGCGGCGCTGAGAGCAGCCGGGCGCAGTCCCGGGCGCGGGCGGGCGGCGGGCGGCGGGCGGGGCGCGGGATGCGGCGGGGCCCGGAGCGGCGCGCGCAGCGGACGGAGGCGCACAAAACTCAGCCCTCTCTCTCCCCGAGGAATGGACCCTTTCCCGGGAGCCAAAACTCGAAGCCCCCGGGAGCGGCGCTGTCAGAGGGTGACGTCGGGGGGCGGCGCCTGCACCATATATGGCAGCGGCCGCCCCTCGCCGCGCCCCCGCCGCCGCCGCCGCGCTCGCCGACTGACTGCCTGACGGCGGGCGCCGCGAGCCGGCCCGAGCCCCGCGAGCCCCGCGAGCCCCGCCGCGCCGAGCGCCGCCGAGCGCCACCCAGCGCCGCGGCCGCCCCCGGGCTAAGCGCCCTGGCTCCCGGCGCCCGCCCGCGCGCAGCCGGGAAGGTCCCGCTCGCCCAAATACATCTCCACATGAAACCACCACCGACCAGTGCACGATGGCAGCTTGTGTGTCCTCCCCCCCCCCATACCTCCTCCCCAATTCAGAGAGACGGTCCAGACACGGTGGCCAGGAAGGGTACCATGCCGAGGCGCCCCGAGATGTCCAAACGCATGCAATCCATGCAATGCATGCAATCAATGCAGGGGGCCCGAGGAGGAGAGGGAGCGGGCAGAGGAGGCCCGCAGGCCGCGGGGAGGGCGCGCAGGGGCCGGCGCGGGGCTGGGGGCTGCAGCGCGGGGAGCGGGGCCCGAGGCGCAGCCTGGCTTCCTGCAGACCTGGGGCTGCTGGAGGGGCCGGTCCGCGCCCCCGTCTGCGCCTCGCCAGACGCCGGCGCTCGCTGCCGGGGAGGCCGTGGGCTGGGGCCCACGTCGGAGGCGGACGCTGCCAGATGCTCTCTCTCTCTCTCTCTCCCGGTGGCCGCGGGAGACCCCGGCCCCGGCCCGTCCTGAGCCGCGGCGGCGGGTAACAAAGAAGGAAGGCGACGGGCGCTCGGGCTCACAGGACGCGCGCCCGGCCTCCCTCTTCGGCGGCCTGGAGCAGGGTCCGAGGCGCGCCCCGCGCGGGGCCCAGCCCTGCCTGGCCCCGGCCTCCCCGGCAGCCCGGCGGGTCCCGTCCTCCGTGCCGCCGGCCCCGGTAAGCGGGGCGCGCGCCTCCCCGACCTGGTTTCGAGGAATCAGTCGGGAGGGTAGCGGCGGGGAGTGGGGAGCCAACCGCAGTCGGCGGCCCGGCGGCCAGGCTCCAGCGGCAGCAGCGGCTCAGAGCCCGGGCGCGCCGCCCGCCCGGAGGACGCGTGCGGGACACCGATTGGAGCCCCGGGGACCGCCGAGAGCCGTCCTGCCAAGAGGAATCAGGCCCTTTTGATTAAAACAAACAAAACCAAAACAGGTTCCAGGGCGCGAGGGTGTCTGTCGCAGGACAGCCTCTTCCCCCCCAGTCTGGAGTCAACACTCCCTTTTTTTATGAATTGGCCGCCGCTTGTGTGTGTGTACATTAATATTTTAATTAATCGGGGAAAATCGAAGTCCGATTTGCATTGTCTGGGGACCCCCACACCGCTTGGAAGGGGTGAGGGGAAAGAAAAAAGGATGTGTTGGAAAGCAATCTATTTTGCTGGTGTTGGGGGTTAATGACTATTGCCAAAGATAAGTGAATTATCAAAGCTGTTGCGCCGGTCCCATCTCAAAATCCATTACGGTGCCGGCCGTCTAATTAAATACGTAAGTATAATAAAATCATATTTTATGACTATTTGAGGGTAATGAGATTAGTCTTTAGAAGCGATCGCCACATATTAAAGATGCCACTGTCTATAGAATGTTAATAACCTTAAATCAAAGTGTATGGAAACTCTTCGCGATAAATTAAAAGAAAATTTCTGTATTCCTAATCAGCCCGGAGCTCTCCTCCCTCGGCAGCCCGCGTGGAGCAGGGAAAACACTGTCTTCCCCGGGAAAGACAACAGGGCATGAAGTTGGCCATCGGGGGAGGGTGGGGTTGAGAAGTGGCTTTGTCTCTGCGTGCTGAGCAGCCCGGGGGGAGCTCCCGTGAGGCGGCTGGCTGGCCAGGCCGGCAGCGTTATTGTCAGGCTCTGCAGAATGCCTTTTTGGGGGGAAAAAGATGAAGTTGGAAATAGGAAACAATACTTTCTTTGTCGCACACTTCCTAAAATGCCGGGCCCCTGCTGGAGGTGCCCCCTTCCCCGCGCTAACGAAAAGTATCAAGCTTAAAATCATTTACAGTATCTTTAATTCAGATTACAAGCGCCAAGGCGATTTAAATCTGATTACCAAATTAGAAGGTTTAAAAACAAATCCTTCTAAATCTGATACTGTTGACTAAAGAGGGAGAGAGAGGAAAAAAAAGTTCCATAAGCCCATCGCAGAAGGTAACGATCCTGCCCCAGAAAGAAAGGGGGTTTTAAACCTTTTTGACAACAAATGCAGCTGCCCCACTGTTTTGGACGATATTAAGCGAAAATGAATGCAAATCTGTGTTCAGCAGCCATCTGGCCCGAAATGGGGGAATCAGCTGCTCTCACAACAGGCTCAGAGGCTGAATCCATTTCAGCTCATTTTCTAGATCATCTGGTCCCGCACCCAAAGCGTGGAAAATACGGTCTTTATCATTCACCAACTTTATCTTTTTTGTCACTCCACTGCTGGCTCCGAGCTGCTGCGAGCACAAGGACTGGCCGCCTGGGCAGGGTCTGCACCCAGGCCTTCTGGGGAGCGGCCTGGAAGGGCAGCCTCCTGCCCCCCCCCCAGTCCTACCCCAGATTTTCCCTTGGATAGGGTGGGAGCAGTTATGGAGAGCTGCAAGAGACCCAGTGCCCAGGCCCCAACGCGGAATGGAGGGGCTGCAGGTCAATTCCTGGAAGCCTTGGGGGAGACTGGAGCGCCCCTGAGCCCAGCCCCCCAGCCCTCTCCAGGGAGCTAGGGGCACCCAGTGGCCAGGCAGGGGCAGCCCGGGGAAGGGCAGGCTGACACTGGACGTTGGGCAGGTCCTCCGAGGCTGCTGGTCCAGCCTCTGCTCCCGGAGGACTCCCAGCGGCCATTGGTTGGGGCCTGGCCTTCGCTGGGAACCCCCAGGCCGTGACCACAGCGATGAGGGCCGGAGGCCGGCCCTGTGTGATTTGCACTGGTGGCCCTCTCAGCCTCCTCCGCAGAGGGTGGGAAGTGTTCCTTTTGTGCGGATTTACAGGGAGCGGCTTCAATGAGCCCCCTCGCATTTGCATTTAAATAGCGGCATCCAGTGCTTCTCGTGCCACACGCCAGTGGGCTCCCAGATGTCACGCCGGAGTCAGTCAGATGGCCAGTGCCCAGCTGTCCTCCCCACCTCGTGCAGGAGCAGGCAGTGACCTCAGAGAGACAGCGCCTGCCGGCCATGGAGTCCTGCTCGGGAGCAGCACACAGGGCTCAGGGCACAGGCCAAGGCCGGGCTGGTCGGTACCACCATGCAGCGGCTGCACCCCAGCTCCGCCGGCCTCCCTGAGAGCCGTGCCTCTCTGGTCCTCCCCCCGCTGCCGGGCTCGCCCAGCCCCTCCACCCTCGCCCAATTCCCATCCGAGGGCGGGGGCTGGTGGGCGCCTGCCAGGCATGGATTTCCCCATCGCACCTCCTCGGTCCAACACAGCTGGGTGGTGCCGGGCCTGGAGAGTGGGACCCGCCAAGTTGAGCTCCTGGGGAGCAGGGCCGGGTGCGGACCCCGGCATCCAAGGCACCCCTGGGCGCCCCTTCCTGCTGGCAGCAGAGCCCCCGGAGCCTGTGAGCGTCCTACTGGCTTCCAGTGTGTAATAAAGTGCATTTCCGGGGAGGAGAAGCCCCGGGTGCGGGGGCATGGACAGTCTCGGGCCCTCCAAGGGCTGGTGCTTCAGGCCCAGGCTGCGTGGCTCGGAGCGCTCGGAACCGGCCCGAGCCAAGGCGCCTAAGGCTGGCGGTTCACGTTCTCCCAGCCGGTGAGGAGTCCTCCGTGCCCGGGGGTCAGGCTCCTATAGCATCGGCTACGACCTCTGGCCTGGCTCCCGCCTGGGGTCGGGCCAGCGCCAAGCACAGGCTGAGGCCAGAGGAAGAACCGAAACCCTGAGCCCAACTGACCTGGGGCCCCTGAGGGAAGAGGCCATGGAGGCCAGGAGAGCAGAGAAGAGGGAATCCCAGGAGGGGGCACCTGGAAAGGGCAGTGAATTGCAGGAGAGGGTGGATCAGCCACACACTGGCTCACTTGCCCACCTGGACTTTGCCTGGCACCACGGGGTCTCGCTGCCTGTGGGCCCGGCAGACCGGGCAAGCAAGGACTCCACACCAGGCCACTCCAACCTGTGAAGCTTTGCACAAAGGGTGGGAGGCCAGGTTGGGGGGGAGCTTCAGGCCCAGGGAAGGAGCCTTCGCTCTCTGCACCCAGACAGAGGCCAAGGGGCCCTCGGGAGACATGTGGTGACTGACCCAAGCCAGGCCAGAGTCCCGCTCACTCTGAGAGGCAAGTTCCTGGGCACCGCGCCCCGGACACACAGGGAGCACCAGCGGCCTCCTCCCTCCTGCGCTGGGAGGTGGGGGGCCTGGCGGGACTCACAGGTAAAACACAGGCGCTGAAGGGTCCCAGACCCCTTTCCTCTGCACACACACACACACACACACACACACCCGCCCCCCCATCATTCTGTGAGGCTGAGGTTCCTGAGCCAGACCCAAGGACTGCAAAGGGAACAATTCTCCAGGTGAGAACGTGCAGGCGCCTCCTGCCAAGGCGGCCAAGTTTGACAAACAGCGCCTCCTGGGGAGGGCAGAGCAGAGTGTCGCAGAGCAGCGCCGGCTCCCAGCCACCCGGGGGGCAGGTGGCCACCGCGGCTTCCGGCTGGCCCCAACAGCTGGGCGGCGGCTCCCGCCTGGCCGGTGCACCTAGGCCTCGCTGACCCTGTGACCCCGGTGCATGCACCCGCCTCCTGGTCCTAATTGCCTCCCCCCTCATACACACACACACACACACACACACACACACACACACACACATGCATCTGCAAAGGTGGGAACCAGGCCCAGGCAGCCGCGACCACGTCCTTGCTGGCG